AGACCCTTAGTCGATCGTCGAGAATAAGAGACATGGCTAGTTAGCTCTAGTGCAAATGGGAGATTGTTAGTGTAAGTGCCCAAGATCCAACCTTGATTGGATGGTTTGAGTTATTGTAACATTGCATTATTTATTTTATCAATGATAAAAGAATTCTTTCTATTAATTTTTATCATTTATAATTATTTATTGAATAAAATTAGATAGAAGTTTATATGATATACATTTGCATTAATGATTATTCAAAAGATGTGAGACAAACATTAATGCATTTTAAATGATATTATTAAATATCCAAAATCATAGCATTATTAAGAATGGGCTTTGGCTATATGCGATTAGAATTGTGAGTGTTATGCTCATGCTATAAGATACCAATAGAGATCTCACACCTATTAGCATGATAATATCAAAGCAAACACTTAGGTGATTAATGTCGTAGAATATATCATTGCACTTGATTTTCCATGAGAACACAATTGGTTTAGTCTATGGGAATCTCATACAACATGGGTACAGATGGTCCTTTGACTTGAAGTCATCACGGTTATCTCATTAGAGGATTTATGTACTTTAACACTCGTTTTGATAGACCCAGTAAAAGGTTGCACATGGGTAATTATTTGGATGTATTAAAAATCTAATGGAGATAAGTGAATGATTAAAATAGGACATGTTATTCCTTGTATACTAAAAGAGTTATCACATTGCACTTTGATGAATGTCTACTCAAGAAATCTATGGCCACAAGTAAGATTACAACAATAGAGCATAGTCGCTTTACTCTAAGAGCTAAGACATTTGAAAATAATAATAAAAAAAAATTATGTGATCATAATCAAACAAACTAATAACTAAATTTGAGGTTACACTATGATAAATTGACATGAGGATTGAATTGTTCGATAACCATGCTCATGAAATGTAATTACGAATTAATTAATCCTCTTAGAGAATTATGTAGTTATGATACCTTACTAGAGGTTAATCTTGATTTATGTATCTAGAGATAAAAGAGATATCGTTTATTCTTAATGCATTGCCAATATATTTAAGAGCTTATTAAGTCACACATATAAGTTTAAGCATTCACATAATAAAAGAGAAAAAATGATGTTGGAAAAAGTTTCTTATTCTGGAAAAGGTTTCCTAAAATTTGGAAGTAAGTTACCTAAAAGGAAAATTAGTTTCCTAATCTAAGTTTAAAGGTAATTTGAGAAATTATTTCCTAATGTGGGCCTCCTAAAAATATCTAACCTAATTTATTTGGATAGTCCAAATTAACTAGTAATTAATTAGGCTAAAAGAGTTTAGGCTAATAGATTTAATTAAAAAGTCTATAAGATTTTTGATAGGAGGATAAATATGAACCATATCGGATAAGGATTAAGGTTTAAAAGGATAAGATCAAAAATTTGATATGCATAATAACTCCTAATCCTTGAAGGATTAAGAAGCAACAACTAAGAGTCCTTTTCAGGACACATTTTTGCCATTTCCTTATCCTTGAAGGACAAGGAAGACACTCTCCCTATAAATATAAGGGAGGTGTGGCAAAAGAGAGGATTAAGCTAGGGCTATATGGCAAAAAGAAATAAAAGGGAGAAAATAGTTTTTTCCTCCCATACACACATGCCACCTGTCCCTTCTCTCTTAGGTTATCATAAAATATCCCCGAATTGATTTTAAAAGAAAAAACACTAAACAAGTAAGAAAAAAGTGAAGCTAGCACTCTACTACTTCGAGTACTTATTAGGTCGTGTGAATTATCCATAGAGACTAGACACTTGGATGACTGCAAAGGTTAAATTCTACACTACAAGAGGTAATCCTTTACTTATGTTTTAATTCATGTATGTATGATTAATTGATTTAACAGACTTGATCTTGGGAGCCTTAGATGGAGAAAAATATTTATTTTATTTCAAATCTCTATAGAATGTATGATCCTTCACGTACAAGATATACAAATCATGGCAAAAGACAAACAAACAATGTTAACAAATATAGAGGTTAATGGAAGATGTTAGTCACAACTTAGCTTTCCAAGTGAACATTATGGTAGAAAAATGTTAACAAATGTAGAGGTTAATGCTTGATTTGAGTGATAGGTTAGATGAGCATGATAATGCCATACATAAGTTGTGTGATAGAGGGGTACCTAATGTAAAAGGGGTTGTAAGTTAGGGATTAGGAGATGAAGGAGAAGTGAATGATAATGATGATGGTAATGACTATCAAAATGAATTGGCTATAGTAGGATACAATAGGGATGGTCCAAGAAATTTATGTATGGAGAGATAATATGGATCAAGATTTGGGTAGCATTAAGATGAATATCCTACCATTTCGGGATAAGAATGATTCGGATGTTTATTTAGAGTGGAAAAAAAGTTGAGTTGTTATTTGAGTGTCACAATTATTCTAAGGAAAAGAAAGCAAAGATAACTACAGTTGAGTTTACCGACTATGCCATCATTTGGTGGAATAGTTAGTGTCGACTAAGAAGAGAAATAGGAAGAGACCTATTGGTACTTGGGTCAAGATGAAAGTAGTCATAAGAAGGAGATTTGTTTCAACACATTATTATAGGGACATGGACCAAAGGTTATAGAGACTTACTTAGGGTTCTAGAAGAGTGGAGGATTATCACAAATAGATGGAAGTAGCCATGATAAGCGTAAACATAGATGGGGATAAGGAGGCTATAATGGCTAGGTTTTTATATGGGTTGAATATGGAGATTGTTAATATGGTAGAGTTACAACAATATGTCAAGTTGGAGGATTTAGTGTACATGGCCATAAAAGTGGAGAGGAAGATCAACAGGAGAGGTGTTTCATGGATAAGTTAGTGTTCAAGTTTTATTCCTCATTAGAAACCAAAATGGAGTGAAAAGTAGAAGAGGAATAGGTTTAAGCCCAAAGTCGAAGCATTTAGAGGTAGAGAAGAGAGGGCTAATTTCAAGCCCAAGGTTAAAAATTTTAAAGACAAGAAGGTGTTTTCCAACCAGGAAAGAGGTAATTCTAAATCTCAACCAACTAGGAATAGAGATATTCAATATTCTAAATGTTTGGGTAGAGGTCACATTGCTTCTCAATGTCTAAATAGAAAAGCAATTGTGTTGAAAAATTATAAGGAAATTCAGCTTGAGGTAAAGTGTGAAGAAGAGTTTAATTCGAAAATGAGAGTGGAGGTAAGGAGTATCTAGTTAAGCATGACTCTTTAGTTGTCATGCATGCTTTGAGCATGCAAGTAAAAGGAAAGGATAAGGTTCAAAAAGAGAATATTTTTCATACTTGCTATCATATTAAGGATAAAGTTTATAGTATGATAATAGATTAGGGTAGTTATGCTAATGTTGTTAGTACTATCATGAGTAAAAAAATAAATTTACCTATACTCAAACACCCTATGCTGTAAAAGATGCAACGGCTAAATGAGTGTAGGGAGATTAAGGTCAATAAACAGGTATTGGTGTCTTTTTCAATTGGTAGGTATAAAGATGAGGTCTTATGTGAAGTCATACCAATGCAGGCGTGTCACATTCTGTTAGGTAGACCTTAGCAATTTGATAGGAAAGTGAAACATGATGGGTTTAGAAACGGATATTCTTTTGTAATATCGGATCAAAATGTAATACTTATTTCTTTGTCACCTTGACAAGTATATGAGGATCAAATGAGTTTGAAAAGAGAGAGTGAAAAACAGAGGAGTGAGCCAAAAGTAAGAAGAGAGAAGAAGGAAATGAAAATAAGTGAAAAAGAAAAGATGAAACTAAAACAAAAAGATAGAAAAAAAGAGAGTTTTTTTTTTTTTTTGGCAATAGACGATAATATTAAGAAAGCGTACTTTTCTCGTATAGTTGATGATTGTACTTTTGTGTAAGGAGGCTTATTTTAATACTAACAAGCTCGACCTTTTTGTGCCTAGTATCGTTGTATCTTTATTGCGAAGTTTGATAATGTGTTTCTTGAGGAACCAAATGGTTTGATGCCACTCAAAAGGATTGAACATCAAATCAATTTCATTCCTAAGGCACTCGGTTCCAAACAAGCCAAGCATATAGGAGGAATCCAAAAGAAACTAAAGAAGTACAATGGCCGATTGAGGAGTTTGTGAAGAAAAGGTACATTAGGGAAAACATGAGTCCATGTGTGGTTCTTACATTACTAGTGCTAAAAACAAAAGATGGAATTTAGAGGATGTGTGCATCGATTCTAAGTAGTCAATAAAATCACCGTAAAGTATTGTCATCCTATTCCTAGATTAGATTATATGTGTTACAACCCAAATTTTTACCTTTATTACTTTTTCTTCAATTTTTATTTTGTTGCAAAATACCAAAAAAAATATGAAAAAAAGGAAAAAATGGAAAATGGAAAAGAAAAAAAATCAATTAGAATAATTAGTTTAGGTTAATTAAAAAAAAAGAGAAAAAAGAAAGAGGGCGAGGGTTATTTGAAGAAATGGAAAATTGGGAGTTAGCAAAAAAAGCAATCGAGGGTTCAATGAAAAAAAAATCAAAACTTACATCCTTCAATCAAAGTAAAAGGAGGGCACAATTAGAAGAAATAAAAAAGAAAAGTCTTAGTCAAATCAAATTTAGGGAGTCCATCGAAGAAAAAAATCAAGATTAAACTCAAATTGGTGCATGGAAAGAAGCCAAAGACCAAAATGGCATTTGTCCAAAAACCCTACATATAAAGCTACCCCATGCAGCTTTTTTATAGGGGCTACTATTCATTATCACCCAAAAAACACTCCCGACCTCTATAAATACACTACATCAACCTCTCCTCCGGCACGCCACACACCGATCCGGCCTACCTCCCCTCTCGCCCAAGCCCCTTCTACTCCAGCCTTATCCAACACCAAATACACACATTCCACACCATAAGCCCTTTCCTAGCCAACCTCTCCCTCTTGCCCACACATGCCCACAACGCATTACACACAATCGAACGACCCCCACTCACGCTAGCCCCACAACTCTCTCACTAGCCCTCTTTCTTGTCTAAACCACGAGCCGACAAGTCTTCTCCTCGCTCATAGCTCTCTCGTGCACCAGCTCGCCGCCTAGCTACAACCCACCTCCACGTACCGGCTCCAACCTCACAACCCACACAACAACCTTCTTCGCCTAATCCAGCCCCCACATGCCAGCCTTCCTTGTCCACTCCAGGCGCCCCACACGCCAACCCTCTTGCCCACCGCCCATAGCCAACCTCACCAACACAGACCCCATGCCAATTGTCCCCTCATATGTCCTAACCAGCTCGTAGCCTATTTCCCCTCACACACCTCACACCCTTCTCACTCGTAAGCTCTAACACTCTCCTCACCCAAACTCTTGCCCACCAAGCCTTCACGCCACAAGCCCTTGCTTGGCCAGCCATCTCCCATGCCCACACAAAAAGCAACCCCACTTCAGCCAATAGCTTCGACCTCAACTCTAGCCCCTAGCCACCAAAAGCCCCCTTTCGGACCCGAAACCCACCACAAAACCAACCTCCTTCAAAGCCCTAAAACCAGCCCTTAAAGAAGCTACAAACCATACATAAAATTTACCCAAAAGTAGACCCAAAACCAGCCCAAAAATAGACCTAAAAAATCCACTAAAAACGCTCCAAAATCGACCTTGCAACCATTACCAATAGCCCCTTAAAAACAATTACGAAAAACTCCCTCTAGATAGCCCCGTTAAGCAACCAAAGTAGCCCCTAAAACACCCCCAAACTAGCTTTAAAACAACCCAAAAAAGCCCCCAAAACAACTACAAACCCCTTTTAAAACAGTCCCTTTAAATGATTTTTTTGGTTACTAAAAAAGGAGAAAATAAGGGTAAAATAATTTTTTTAAAAAAGAGAGAGACTAAAAATTTTGTTGTGTTGGATTGTGTTATCGGGAAGAAGATGATGTTGTAGACTATGTTTGCTTAATTTTTTTAACGCAAAACAAGCTACGTAACTCACTCGCAGCTTTCGGGAATCTTGTAAATTTTGAAGCCAATAAAGGAAGATTTTTTAGCCACCCTAGCGGTACTCATATCTATTGCCCAACGTAAATTACTCTCCTTCCTCGGCTAATTGAATGATTGATTATCATTGAGAACGAAGAGGGTAAGATTGACTCCAAATCGAACGTCGACATTTCAAAACTCTTGGATAAAAATCCTAAAATCATGGCACTTCTAAAAATATTTTAAAAGGTTAAAGATGACAGTGTGTGTGGAATGTGATTAAAATTATGATATTTGGCTTCACATTTATGGATTAAATATGATTAAAAATTGAAATACTACTACAATGATCGTTAAAGGACAAAATGCCCTATTTTCCTATTATCATGGTCACCTGTTTAAATGGGAAGTTTGTGCTACTTGTGTGGTTTAGTTGACTATCCATGATCGATTGCAATGTACAATAAAGCCTCCGGTGACTTTCCATTTATATGATGAAGCCGTTAGTGGTTTCAAAATTATTTTATCTAAGTGCTCGATCCTTATTTTTCTTGCTTCTCGTTTATTGTTCCTTACTTTTTGTTTTGTATGTTTTATTGCTTATTTCATTGAAATGAAGTCGTTGAAGGGATTTGGAGCCACTTTATTGATTTTTATACTTGATTCTTGTTTTGTAACGTCTAATATTCCTTACTTTCTTGTTTTCAATCCTTGTTGCCTATTTTCCACTTCCATTATTTATTTCATGAAAATGAAGCCATCGGTAGCTTCCCACTTATGTGACAAAGCCACCAAGTGGCCTCAAAAATAATTTTTCATTTAATGTCTATTTGTTTGAAACGAAGTCGCTAATGGCCCCCACTTATGTTACGGAGCCGTTGATAGCTTCTAAAGTTATCTACTCCCCGCTCGAGCTAAATGAAGTGATCATTAACTTTTAACTTGTGTGACGAGGTTATCCTTAGCTTCAAACTCATGACTCGAAGTCGTCGATAGGTTCCCACTTATGTGAGCAAAGTCACCATTGACTCATTACTCATGCCAATAAAAGGCTATACATCTTTAGAAACTCACCTATTGGTTGATACTACGTTGTATTCACTAATGATTAGTCAAAATTATAAATTCCCCCACTTTTCCTTGTTGGGTAGAGAGTATTGGCCTTAGACAGTGCTCGAACTCCCAAACTACCTTGTTTTTACACCCGAACCATGCCGCTTCATATTGTATAAATAAACTCACTCAAATAGGCATAAACACATAATAGATAAAAAAAAAGCCTAGGTTTTATATTCATAGGCAAAAAATGCAACTTACCTTAGGTAGGACGGGATGGTAGTGATGTCATATCTTTCCCATATGTAACCGACCCCTTACCTAGATATCCATGTAGACTAGTATGTTTAAGGTTTTCTAGTTCTCTCCGATTAGTTAGGTGGCGACTCCTTGTTTTGGCCTCCCTTCGCAGAGTGGTCGACGTCGATGGAATTGACGACTCCACTAGTGGACTTGTCATACTAAGGTCGAGTTTTGAATGTCCGTGTTGTGAATCTCCGGTTGTTTTTTATGCCTCTATGCCTTTTTTTTTTTTAATTGTGTGATTGCCATTTAATTGTTTATTTGTTGTTGTATTGTGTAAATTTGTTTGTATATATATGTGTTGTTCGTGTTGTTTTTTTTTTCTTACAGCTTTGGTTGTTTAATGTTTAGCCTTTTATTTCATATTTCGAGACTAGATATGAAGTTGTTCCCATACATACTACACTACATAATCGTAATAGTCATTTACATTCGCCTCGGGACCTAGGGAGTTAGTAGTGGTGCCCCGATAGGTTTCAACCCGAGTAAACATGGATAGGTTTCAAACCTCAAGCCTTCTTACTAGCTACCATCGTGGATAGGTAATCAATGATATTTCATGATTGCTAATGTCATCATAGATAGTCCTAGTGACTCTACTCAAGACTCACTAGGCTAAAAGGTACCCTTATGAGACATTGATAGAGCTTACCTACTCATATAATGGTTAGAATCGACTCTATGACTATCTCTCCCTATTTAAATGCACTCGGGTAAGTCAAATATGTTTGAAACCTTGATTAAAATAATTTGGTCATGATGTTTCAAGATAGGTGATAAAAGAGTTCAAACTCGGTTCAAGCAAGCATCGGCCAAAGTGTCGAAAGGTTACCGATGTGAATAATCATGTCATTAAACCTACTAAAAGCAATCTCATGGGTGAAGAAACAAAAAGAAGGAACTCTTTTGTCACCCTTCATAGATGACTACTCCACATCCAGATCGAGTGTCTTTATTCTATGTCAATATTATTTATGTTGTTCTATTTGTTATTCACCTAAAGAAGCATAAACCATTATGTCAAAAATGTGTTTTCCCCCGAGAGTTGACAACTTAGGTCAATACAAGAATAGACAATGAAGAAAGTGGTCGAACTCGAATAAAGCCATCGGACGAAGTTAAGTGCTTTAAAGGTAGAAGTGTCTAGGCTAGTCTGTTTTACTCGAGCAAAGGTTGTAAGCTCGTGCACCTATTGAAGTGCCTCCTAGTTAGGAAATAGATCAACCATCTACTATCTCCAAGGTGTTCATCACCATATCGCATCCACTACTCGAGTGGCGATTTCGTGCTACCCTTATTTTCTCCCCACCAAGATGTTGTCGGCATTTTGGATCTAACCAATCACACTCGCACTTGGAAGCATGTATGAGCCAGCCTATCTTAAAGTCTCTAGCTTGAATTCATGGCATTCATATACTTTGCAAACTCAAGTAACTCCTATGGTTAATGACTACCAATGAGAAGTTGGAAGAAAAAATGAGCTTAGAGACCGAAACCGAAAAGCTCAATGCCATTAAGGAATGTCTCATAACTATTGAGGGTGTGGACACGTATGAACTTCTTTTGATAATATATAGATGCTTGATTCTGAATATCATGATTCCCTAGAAATTCGAAGTGCCGAACTCTTCAAGTACATGGCGAATAGATAATCCTTTTAAATCCCGTTCAAAGAAGAACAACTTTGGTAAAAGGAGATGACATCAATGTCCATCGGATTGAAGAATTCATTTTCAATCTAAACAGTTAGTTAGTTGAATCATTCTCATATATCACATACTTTTCCTTAGATGACATTGGGTGTGATAACAAAAAGACAGTTCTGAAATTTGCATATCCCGTTTGTTTGACTCGTTATCTACTATCAACATTAACAAAAAAAAACATCCAAGTCTCAAGCTCCTATTCATGTCAAATCCTTCTACAAGTTTCATAAAAAAAGTGGTCATGAAATTGATAATTGCCATGAATTTCATCAAAAGGTACAAGCGATGCTAGTTCCGGACACCTTGAGAGTAGAAAAAGAGACAAAGATATCGGAGAAGTCTTCATACCTTGTTGATTTACACAAGCAAAGACCCGAGTTTGAGCTCACCATCTCATGCTATGGTAATGAACATTTTAAGAGGCAGAGAAAGCCGATGCTAAAAATGAAGTCACATAGTCCGGGCTAGTGTCTAATAATTCAAAACTAATGATGCCTTCTACCTACGTACTTAAGGATGTTTTTAATGTTGATCAGCTTTTCTATTAGACCATTAGGGAAAAGGATTGAATGATTGGTCGGATGAAAAAATGCCTTTTGTTTTCAAAGCCAAGTAATTTTCTTATCACATTTATCTATCATGATTTCATATGATGTCAATTTACGGGATGTGTAAATTTTCTTCTCAAACTATCACATTTGCTTTGCTTCTTCTATTTTTTTTCTTATTTTCACCCTACATTTAGGGCATCCAAAACGATCATATCTCAAAAATAAAAACACCAAGTGATTGTGCAAAAAAAAAAAAAAAAGAAGAAGAAGAATGACCATCATAACTCCGATTATAATATGCATGATAATGAATATAAGGTGAATACTTGAAGCTCGTAGAGGAGCATAAATGTGTCTTGATTTTGTGAATGAAATCTTACCTTATTTTGAATTTTCGAATGTCATTTGCAAAAGTATTATAATTTTTATGGATTGGATCATTTCTTTGAAAATGAAATTCCTAATATCTTGATAGGGTTTTATTATTTGTTTAAAATCTAGAGATGGTTATTTGAAAGTATCATTGTCATTTTATATCATCCAAAAATAAAATGGCAAAATCATTCAAAATCTTTCAACATTGATCAATTTTTAGAACATGTCATGTGAATGCTAAGGGGCGATCCTCTCTTTTTGAAACCAAAAAAATTCCTTTTTTATCCTTGACAAATCCTTCTAAGACAATCTTGCCTAAGATGATACATCAATGCCCAAGAAAAAAACAACGAAAAGTGATTCGATGCCTTAAATGATGATGAGTGGTACACATTTGGGTCATGATCCCATCTTATGCTTCTTCTTCTCTAGATGTCAATCATATTTTTCAAATAAAACTAGAGCTTGTCGACCTAAACAAGATCATATTTGAGATGAAGAAAGGCCATTTTTAATATACTTTTTTGCAAATGAAAACTTATCTCTTATTGTCTAACTTTGAGCCTAAAGGATTTCTTTTAACAATGGTATAGACTAGGATCACCCCTCACACCGAGGGCAATTTTGAAGCTCATTAGTAATCAAGGATGTTCTCCTAGAAAGATGAGATGAGAAATGAAAATTGTTCACAAAACAAAAACTTATTGAGAAAACCCTTGGATGACTTTGAAAAAAAAAAAAAGAGAAATGAAAAACAAAAGTGAAAGCACTAAGACAAAAAAGAGTGCTATCTAGAATAATCCCTCTCATAACTTGAAGTTAGGAATGTCGAGTCGAAATCCCAAAACCAAAAAAAAAAAAAATGAATGACAAGAGTGAACATGAAAAGAGAGTCAAGATTAGAAGATGAGATCAATTGGCAAGATGACAAAGCCAAGGTGGCATGCCTAAAATGATCTCGATGAATAACTAAGTGATCCTAAATCTTTACACCGTTAAACACCATTTGAGCCTTTTATATCCTTTCATTCATAAGCCAAAGCCATAGCCTACATTACGTGCCTATGGAAGCCTTTTCCGCTCAAAGATGGCTTGTTTGTGTTGATGAGTTCTATCTTTAAATGAGAAGAAGAAAAAGTTTATCAATAAAACTTGACTTGTTTGTGCATTACAAATCATCATTTATGACATCGAATTACAAATTTGCAGCAAGTAATTGGGGGCAAGAAAGAAATAAATTGAGTTTTTCTAGGCAAGACCCCCCATTTGAGCCAAAGTTTCTTTAGAAACTCTTTTAGTTCCCGAAATTCATCCGAGCACGCCACGTTCTAGAACTAAACTTTTGCCAATCACCCATTAGAAGAGACCAATCCTTTTTAAAACCTTTATGACCCAAACACCTTTTGATCATCTTAGCATCAAAATGGATCACCATAAGAATCGCATCTCGGCATTTCACGATATATTTTGGCTTTTGATCAAATATGTCAAACATCTTTCCGAATGAGATTTACTTTCTTATGAACATCTACATGATTTCTTTTGGACAATTCAACTTGCTTTGATGGAAAATTCTTAAATAGATAGCCTAATCCATGAAACTCGACAACGGATGAAAATGATTTTTTGAAAATTCAAAATTCAAAAAAAGTCTCTCAAAGACAAGTTCACAAAATCAAGCATAAACATCGAAAGAAGAACAATAACATGAGCAACAACAATGAAAAGTAGAGGTCAAATAGATGATCACTCGCCAATGCTTTAGAAACATGTTATGTCAAACTTGTTGCAAATATGTGTTAGCACTAAGAAACCAAAACATTTCAACTTCTCTCGGATCCGAACAATAAGGAGACAATTTAAGTTATGGCCAAAGATTAGCTAGCGCGATTGTTTGACTTTACTTCTATTATTCTTGACTTAACTAACATGATCCGATTCATGACTTTTTGCCTCCCAAAAAAAACCTTTATTTTCATAAGTATGATTAGTTCTCGAAAAAAAAAAAAAAAAAACTCTTTTCTTTGCTCTCATGCACGATCTCGCAGTTAATGCCATTCATGAAATGTGATAATGCATTAAATTGGTATATGATAACTTGATAAGAATCTTACTTGGAATTGGCCTATAAGAGGTCGGCCTTCATGAAATCTGTTACAAGCTTTCTCTTGATTGACTCGGATAGTTGAGACAAAAGGCCATCTTAACCATTTTGGGCAAAACTCTTAATATGTGATTGCAAAAGTTTAAACATTTGGGGATAGTACCAAGGGGACACAAAAAAATTATGATCACCTATTTAGTCGGAGGAGTAGACATCAATCAAAAGACACGGACAATAGTCTAAGCGACGAATCCTTAAAAAATATAAGAACATGGGGCATAGTCGAAAGATAAATAAATAAGCTCAATGAAAGTAGCTAGCCTAGAACCGTTAGCTTATACAAGCTAAATGACACACAAATGAAAGAAAAAGGAGGAAACCTATGCTTCGATAGTGATGACCTATGGTTCTCGGAAAACTTCATATTAGTTTAGGTTAGAATAGTCATTCATGTTATAATCGCCTAACATATCAATCTAAGTTAAATTAGTTTGTCATGCCTTGTAAAAAATATATGGTTAGTCAAGTTTTCTTTTAATTTGACATGGTCAATTATATCCTTTCAAGTCGATGTGGTCGATTGCGCCCCCTTCAAATCTAGGTGGTCGATCATGTCCCTTCGAGTCGGTGTGGTCGATCGCGCCCCTTTAAATCTACATTGTTAGTCACAATTTCTTTTAATTTGACATGGTCCATCATGTCCCTTCAAGTTGACGTGGTCGGTCGCACCCCCTTCAAATCTAGGTGGTTAGTCACGTTTTCTTTTAATTTGACATGGTCCATCATGTCCCTTCGAGTTGACGTGGTCGGTCGCACCCCCTTCAAATCTATGTGGTCGATCCTATTTTCTTTTAATTTGACATGGTCGAGTCATGTCCCTTTAGGTCGGCATCGTCGATCGCACCTCCTTCAAATTTATGTGGTCGGTCGCGCTTTCTTTTAATTTGACATGGTCAATCATGTGCCTTCGTGTCGACGTGGTCAATCGTGCCCCCTTTAAATCTACATAGTCGATCATATTTTCTTTTAATTTGACAAGGTTTCTCATGTCTCTTCAAGTCGAAGTAGTCGATCACGCCCTCTTCAAATCTACGTGGTCGAGTCACCTTTTCTTTTAATTTGACATAATCAATCATGTCCTTTTAAGTTGGCATGGTCGGTCGTAATCTCTCCAAATCTATATGGTTAGTCACGTTTTCTTTTAATTTATCATGGTCAATCATGTCCCTTCAAGTCGGCATGGTTGATCGCCCCCTTAAAATCTACTTGGTCACTCATATTTTCTTTTAATTTGACATGGTTAATCATGTCCTTTCGAGTCGACGTGGTCGGTCTTGCCCCTTTCAAATCTACATGGCCGATCACATTTTATTTTAAGTTGACATGGTCGATCATGTCCCTCAAGGTTAGCATGGTCGGTCGTGCCCCTTCAAATCAATATGGTTAGCCACATTTTCTTTTAATTGGATCTGATCGGTTGTGTCCTTGCAGAATCGAGGTGGTTAGTCGCATCCTTTCAAATAAATATGGTGAGCCACATTCCCTTTTGACATGGTCAATCATGTCTTATAAATTCAACGTGGTCAGTTGCATCCCTTCAAATCAATGTGGTCGATCATATTTTCTTTTAATTGGACATGGTCGGTCATGTCATTGCAAAATCGATGTATTCAATCACATCCTTTCAAATAAATATGGTCAATCACATTCCCTTCCGACTTGGTCGATCATATCTTACAAAATCAACGTTGTCGGTTACATCCTTACAAAATTAACGTGGTCGATCACATTTCTTTTTAATTGGACATGGTTGGTCGTGTCCCTATAGAATTAATGTAGTCGATTGTATCCTTTCAAATAAATGTGGTCAATCACACCATTTTTTTTTAAATTGACATAATCAATGGTCCTTTCAAAAATTGACATGGTCGGTCATTTCTTCCCCAACTTTCTTCTTTTTTTTTTTTACAAGCTTACTAGGTAAAGTCAAGAAAAATGTTTTTCAATAACTTTACGTCATAAGCATTGTAAATAGAAGGCAATCGTTACCATCCAAATTTTTACCCTTTTACTTTTTCTTCAATTTTTATTTTTGTTGCAAAATACCAAAAAAAAAAAAAAGAAAAATGAAGAAAAATGAAGAAAAAATGAAAAATGAAAAAGAAAAAAATCAATTAGAATAATTAGTTTAGGTTAATTAAAAAAATAAAAAGAGAAAAAGAAAGAGGGAGGGGGTTAATTGAACAAACAAAAAATTGGGAGTTAACAAAAAAGGCAATTGAGGGTCAAATTAAAAAAAAAAATCGAAACTTACATCCTTTAATCAAAGTTAAAGGAGGGACAATTGGAAGAAATAAAAAAGAAAAGTCTCAATCAAATCAAATTTAGGGAGTCCATTGAAGCAAATAATAATAATAATAATAATAAAATAAAATAAAATAAAATAATCAAGACTAAACTCAAATTGGTGCATGGAAGGAAGCCAAGCACCAAAATGGCATTTGTCCAAAAACCCTACATATAAAGCTTACCCATGTAGTTTTTTTAAAGGGGTTACTATTCATTATCACAAAAAAAACACTCCCAACCACCATAAACACACTCGCACCAACCTCTCTTTCGAGCATGCCACACGCCGACTGGCCGACCTCCTCTCTCGCCCAAGCACCTTTTACTCCAACCTTTTCCCATGCCAAACACACACATTCCACACCACAAACCCTTATTTGGCCAGCCTCTCCCTCTCGCCCACACATGCCCAAAGCACACTACACACACTCGAACAACCCCACTCATGCCGAGCTTACAACCAACTCACCAGACCCTCTCCCTCATCTAAACCATAGAGCCGACCAGACCCTCTCCCTCTTTGCGGCTCTCACACGTGCCAACCGCCGCCTAGCTACACCTCACATTCATGCGGTAGCTCCGGTCTCACAACCAATATGCCGACCTTCGTCACCCATTCCAGCCCTTACACACTAGCCTTCTTCACCCACTCTAACCCGTCACGAGTCGACCCTCTCGCCCACTCGCCCATAGCCGACCTCACCAACACAGCCTCATGCTTATCGTGCCCTCATATGCCCCACACCCTTCATACACCGTAAGCTCCATCCCTCTCCTCGCCCAAACTCTCGCCCACCAAGCCTCCACGCCATAAACCCTTGCCTAGCCAGCCATCTCCCATGCCCACACATACAACGAACCCCACTCTAGCCAGTAGCTCCAGCCTTAACTCTAGCTCGTAGCCACCAAAAGCCCCCCACTCCGGACACCGAAACCCACCATAAAACTAGCCTCCTTCAAAGCCCCAAACTAGCCCCTTAAAGTAGGTATGAACTAGACATAAAATCCCTCGAAAAGTAGCCCCAAAATAGACCCGAAAAACCAATCAAAAACTCTCCAAAATCAACCCCGGAATGATTACCAACGACTCCCAAAAACACATACGTAAAACTCCTTCGGATAGCCCCCTTATGCCACTAAAGTAGCCCCCAAGAAACCCCCAAACTAGCTTTAAAACAACAAAAAAAGCCCCCAAAACAACTACAAAACCCCCTCAAAATAGCCCCCTTGAATAATTTTTTTGGTAACTAAAAAAAGAGAAAATAAAGCTAAAATTAAATTTTTTAAAAAAACGAGAGATTAAAAATTTTGTTGTGTTTGATTGTGTTGCCAAGAAGAACATGATGTTGTAGACTATGTTTAGTTAATTTTTTAACGGAAAAACAAGCTACATCACTCACTTGGAGCCTTCAGGAATCTTGAAAAATTTACAATAACTCTATAAATTTTGAAGCCAATAAAGGAAGGTTTTTTAGCTACCCTAGCAGTACTCACACCCATTGCCCACCAAAAGTTACTCTCCTTTCCGGACTAATCAAATAATCGATTATCATTGAGATCGAAGAGGTAAGACTCACTCTAAATCGAACATCGACATTTCAACTCTTGGGTAAAAATCCCGAAACCATAGCACTTCTAAAAATATTTTAAAAGGTTAAAAATGACCGGTGTGGTGGAATGTGATTAAAATTATGATATTTGGCATCACATTTATGGATTAAATGTGGTTAAAAAATGAAATATTACTACAATGATTGTTAAAGGATAAAACATCATGTTTTCTCGTTATTATGCCCACTTGCTTAAAATACGAAGTTTGTGCTACTCTTATGGCTTAGTTGACTATCCGGGATTGATTGCAATGTACAATAAATTTGCTAGTAGCTTCCCATTTATATGATGAAGCCTTCGGTGATTTCAAAATCATTTTATCTAATGCTTGATCCTTATTTTTTCTACTTCTTGTTTATTGTTCCTTGCTTCCTGTTTTCTATGTTTTATTGCTTATTTCATTGAAATGAAGCTTTTGATATCTTCTCACCTATATGATGAAGCTATCGGAGGACTTCAAAGATACTTTATTTATTTTTGTACTCGATTCCTGTTTTATAATGCCTATTTTCCCTACTTTCTTATTTTTAATCCTCGTTGCCTAATTTTAATTTTTCATTATTTATTTCATCGAAATGAAGTCGTCAATGACTTTTCACTTATGTGATAAAATCGCCGAGTGGCCTAAAAAATAATTTTTCACTTAATATCCGTTTGTTTGACACGAAGTCACCGAGTGGCTTTCTACTTATGTGACGAAGTCGTCGATGGCGTCTAAATAGTTATCCGCTCCCCGCTCGAGCTAAATAAAGTGATCGGTAACTTCCAACTTATGTGATAAGATTATCGTTAGATTCGAACTCATGACTCGAAGTCATCAATGGCTTTTCACTTGTGTGAGCAAAGTCACCGGTGACTCACTACTCATGCCAATAAAAGGCTATTCATCTTTAGAAACTCACCTATTGGTCGATAATAGGTCTTGTTCATCGATAATTAGCTGAAATTTCAAATTCCCCCACCTTTCCCTATTAAGTAGGGAGTATTGGCCTTAAATAGGTCCGAACTCCCAAACTATCCTATTTTTACACCCGAACCATCATGTTTCATATTTTTGCAAAATAAACTCACTCAAATAGGCATAAAAGCATAACACAATAAAAAAAACTAGGTTTTATATTCATAGGTAGACAATGCAGCTTACCCTTAGGTAGTATAGGATGGTGGTGATGTCATATCTTTCTTATACATAATCGACCTCTTACCCGGATATCCATGTAGACCGGTATGGTTAGGGTTTCCTAGTTCTCCTCGATTAACTAAGGAACAACTCCTTGTTTTATCCTTCTTCTCACGATGGCCGACATCAACAATATGTTAGATGAATTGCATGGATCTTGTGTGCTTTTAAAAATTGATTTGAAAAGTGGTTATCATCAAATTAGGATGAAAGAAGGTGATGAATGAAAAACTACTTTCAAAACTAAACATGATTTGTATGAATGGTTAATGATACCGTTTGGTCTTATGAATGCACCAAGTACTTTTATACATCCGATGAATCATGTTTTGTGTGTGTTTATAAGGAAGTTTGTTGTTGTGTATTTCAATGGCATTTTAATTTACGATAAAAACTTAGATGAACATCTTGAGCATATAGGATCCGTTCTAAGTGTTTTACGCGCTAAAAAGTTATATGAAAGTCTCAAAAAGTGTATTTTTTATATTGATAAAATAATCTTTCTATGTTATGTTGTGAGTTCAAAAGGTATAATGGTTGATGATGAAAAGGTTAATGCAATTAGAGAGCGACTAACACGTAAGTTAGTTAGTGGTGTGCATAGTTTTCATGGGCTAGCTAGTTTCTATATACATTTTATCAAAGATTTTAGCTCAATTGCTACACCATTGATCGAAGTAATTAAAATGAATGTGGGTTTTAAATGGAAAAGTGAGTAAGAGAGTGCCTTTAATTTGATCAATAAAAAACTCAATTTTGCACCATTACTTGAATTACCGGATTTTGCTAAAACTTTTGAAATAGAGTTTGATGCTTCTAGTATTGGTATAAGAGCTATTTTGATGCATGAAAGGCAACCGATTACTCACTTTAACAAAAAGTTAAGTGGGACAGACCTTAAACTACCCTACTTACGACAAAGACATGTATGTGTTGGTAAGAACAACTGGAGACATGGCAACATTACCTATAGTCGAAAAGGTTCGTCATCCACATGGATCATGAGTCATTAAAGCACCTTAAAAGGCAAGGTAAGTTGAATAAACGAAATGCAAAGTGGGTGAAATTCGTTGAGACATTTTCAAATGTTATTAAATACAAACAAAGTAATGAGAATGAAGTTGGTAATGCATTATCAAGAATGTATGTTTAATTTCCGCACTTAATGTAAACTTGTTAGGATTTGGGTATGCTAGAGAATTGTATAAATCTAATCCCGATTTTGCTAATGTGTATGATACTTATGAAAAGACTACATTTGATAAATTCTATAGGCATGATGAATTTCTATTCAAAGAAATTAAATTATTTATGCCTGTGAGTTCTATGTGTGAGTTAGTTATACGTGAGGCATATGGGGGTAGATTAATGGGTCATTTTGGTGTTAGGAAAACATTGGATATTATGACGGAACATTTCTTTTGGCCACACATGAAAAAAGACATTGCAAGAGTCCGTGAGAGGTGTATTATATGTAAACGAGGCTAAATCAAAAGTGATGTCACATGGTTTGTATACACCACTATCAATTCCAAACCATCCTTGGGTTGACATTTTGTTGGATTTTGTTTTAGGATTGCCTAGGTCAAAGAGAGGCAGAGATTTAGTTTTGGTAGAAGTACACAAATTTTTTAAAAATGGCACATTTTATTCCATATCATAAGACCGATGATGCTAGTAATAAAGCTGATTTATTCTTTCATGAAACTATGCATTTAGATGAAATACCAAAAACCATTGTTTCGACCCTCAATTACTTATGAAAAATTTTTTTGGAAAAATTGAAAAATAAATTATTATTTTTCACAACTAGTCGGCCAGTAAATCGATGGTCGATTGCGATAGTCACTAGGATTTTATCTACTTTATTGCAAACAATCATTTCTAAAAATTTGAAAACTTGGAAAGATTTTTTAACACATTCTAAATTTGGTTACAATCGAACTATGCATTCTAATATTGGTCATTCTCCTTTCAAATTTATCTATGGATTTAATCCATTAACTTCATTAGATTTATTGCCATTACCCGTTGAGAATGTTAGTATGGATGGAAAACAAAAAGTTAAATTTGTTAAAAATATGCATGAAAAGATCCGAACATAAATTGAAAAACAAAGCTGAAATGTATGCATCTCATGCTAACAAAAGCTAAAAGAAAATTGTTTTTAAACTAAGACATTGGGTTTGGGTGCATTTTTAAAAAGAAGTATTTCCAACCTAACAAAAGTTACAACTACAACCAAAGGGCGATGGTCTTTTCCAAGTAGTAGTATGTGTCAATGATAAAACTTACAAATTAGAGTTACCAAGTGAGTATAAAGTCGGAATAGTTTCAATGTTTTTGATCTTTCTCCTTTTAATGTAGATGACAATTTGAGTATGAATCTTGTCGGAGGGATAATAAGAATCCAGTTGTCTTCCAAAAGGATCGCGAGGCTTGAAGAACATCGATTGGGCTTGAGCTTGGTGAATTTTATCTAAGCAATTGGGCTGGTAACAAATGCTAGAATGAAAGACCAATTTCCTTTAGGTTGTAGGAAGCCGTTCTTTGCTTAAGTCGACCCTTTATTGAGCTTGTTGTTAGGTCGAGAACTTATTGCCAATTTGATGTTTTCATTAACTAAATATTTTATTCAATTTATTATTGCATTATTCTTTTTTTATACTTCTTTTATTGCTTCGAATCCCAAGAGTGGTTATGTCAAATTCTAAGAGGGCTTTATTAATTGTTGTCAAATTCCATGTACTACTATCAAATTTAAGAAGGCTTTATTTATTGTACAATTATGTGTTTACTAGATCCTAGGAAGTAATTACTTTCTTTTATTTTTTGATTTTTTTTC